AAATACAGCTTGAAGTTTTCGACCTATTTTATTGACTGTAGTTTCATTAAATACATCACGTGAGCCGTAAATATTACATAATAATTTTCCAGTTTCAACTGTTGGATTGTATACAAACACCGCATCTACATCAAAGTATGTTGCTTCATGTAATTGTTCAACAGATACTTGTTCTAAGTTTGACCCATCCAAAGATAATTTATTAATATCAGGAGATACAGTGATAAGTTCAAATAAAGTATCAAGAAAAGAAACATTTGAATAATTCCGTTGAAAATCAGCAAGAATGTATTGCAATGGATAATGAGTATGTTGAAAAACTGATAAACAATTTTCTTGTACATGTTTGACAAGGTTCTCAAACGACCATTGCGAATTAAGTTGAATTCGAAATGGTAATGTTGCAACAAACATTCCAATTATATTTTGTAACTCAGTTCTGTATCGATTGGCATGTAAACAACTAAAGCATAAATCATCTTGTCCATCAGTTAACTTAAATAGAAATGCATAAAATATACTCATTGCTAACTGAAAAGGTGTTATATGATTTAAAGTAGCATATTCTAAAAATGCTATCGAAATATCATCATCAAAATATATCTGAGTAACAAAATGGAAACCTGATCGATAATCAGTAGACAAACAATGTCGGTCAAAAGGTAGTGATAATGAACGTATGAAGTTATAATCCTTCAGTTGAGAATACCAAAACTCATGCGATTGAGTCATATTCATTAAACGTTCATATACGGTACTATCGATACATTGCATGACATTTTCATCAACAGGCAACGAACAATCATTTGTATAAGCAAGAGAAAGATCGTTAAGAAAAATTGATACCGATATTCCATCGAATACTAAATGATGAATTGTGAATATGATTAGATCACCCATAATCAACGTATCCTCATCATAAGATAAATCGCAGAAGCTATGACGATGAACAATATGACAATTCAGAACACGTCCTTTCGACAAATCAAATAAGTCAGAACGATTTATTGTTTTTTTGATTACTTCGTCACTTTCAACATTGCTGTTAATATTGATTACTGAAAAACCATATGGTTCTTGATCATTGATCGTAGCATTGATATCAAGGCAATGCTGTATGATCATACCATTCATATCGAGATAAAATCCTGTACGTAAAACACGATGTTTTGCGACAACTGTATGTAGTGCTCGATGTAATCGATCGATCGATAAATAATCGTTAGTCGACAAAATACGATAAACCAATGGTATAACATACATGAGATTGTGATGTTTAGATGGAAAACGAATTTGTTCATCTAGAAAGATTCGTTCTTGAGCAAATGTGGCCTTAGCTACAATACAAAAATTGAAATAATCAATAGAAATTTTTCAAGTTCACTTTTACCTTGAGTAAGATTCAATGCGAACCAACTTTCTTCAAAATTCTTTTTAGTAGAAATTGCTTCCGATATTAAATGAGCATGATCGATAATTGTTGAATATGTAAAGAGATTAGTAATAGCAAGTGTATTTATCTCTAATTGAAATGTAGTCTGATATCGATAGTACAGTTTCATCAGAAGCAGCGAATGTCCACCTATGGTGAACATACTTGAATCAATTGAAATTTGATCGCACTGTAAAATGTTACACCAAAGTTTATGAACAATAGTTTCAATTTCATTATTAGGTCTTTTCAGTTCTGTATTATTTGCAACGGATGGCAAAAGGGAAATATCAGGTCGAGGAAGACATTTTCTATCGATTTTTCCATTATCGTTTCTCGGTAATTTTTCAAGTCTAATAAACATCGATGGAATCATATAAAAAGGTAAATAACATCGACAATATTCATATAATTCATTTTCTGTCATATCACAACCTTCGACATAAGCAATCAAATGATCATCATCCCATTTCATAATAACGCATGCTGATATTGATGTATTGAGTAAACATTGTTCAATTTCACCAAGTTTAATACGTTGTCCATGCAACTTGATGTGACAATCTTTAAATATATCTTATTTTTAATCAAGAGGTATCATACTCCTACTAATAGAGCAGATACGGGGTTC